TGGATATTTCCTAATACTTTTCTATAGTTCATCTACAAAACAAAACAAAAACCATGTCATCTTTTCTTTTTAAAAAATATGGTTTTGATTTTTTTTTAATATATACCAGAGGTCCGGTGCATGAAATTTGTGCACTCAGCAGGGGGGGGGGGGGGGTTCCCTCAGCCCCGCTTGCACCTTCTTGCAGTCTGAGAGCCCTCAGGGGATGTCCGACTGACAGCTTAGGCAGGAAGTGGGCCTAAGCCATCAGGTGGACATCCTTAGCACTGCTGCAGAGGCAGGAGAGGTTCCCGCCACTGCCACTGCACTCGCCAGCCATGAGCCTGGCTTCTGGCTGAGCAGTGCTCTCCCTGTGAGAGCACACTGACAACCAGGGGCAGCTCCTGCATTGAGTGTCTGCCCTCTGGTGGTCAGTGTGCATCATAGCAACCGGTTGTTCTGCTGTTTGGTCGATTTGCATATTAGCCTTTTATTATATAGGATATATATATATTAGAGGCCCGGTGCATGAAATTCGTAAACTGGGGGGGGGGGGGCGCGGTTTCCTTCAGCCCAGCCTGCACCTTCTCCAATCTGGGACCTCTCAAGGGATATCCAACTGCCCGTGAAATTGGGCCTAAACGGGTAGTCGGACATCCCTCTCATAATCCAGGACTGCTGGCTCCCAATTGCTCGCCTGCCTGCCTACCTGATTGCCCCTAACCGCTTTTGCCTGCCAGCCTGATCACCCCTAACCGCTCCCCTGCTAGCCTGATCGACGCCTAACTGTTCCCCTGCCGGTCCGATTGCCCTCAACTGCCCTCTCCTACCAGCCCAATTGCCTCCAACTGCCCTCCCTTGCAGGCCTGGTCCCCCTGCAACTGCTCTCCCCTGCAGGCCTGGTCCCCCTACAACAGCCCTCCCCTGCAGGCCTGGTCACCCCTAACTGCCCTCCCCTGCAGGCCTGGGCCCCTCAAACTGCCCTCCCCTGCAGGTCCAGTCGCACCCAACTTCCCTCCCCTGCTGGCCCAGTCACCTCTAACTGCCCTCCCTTGAAGGCCTGGTTCCCCTCAACTGCCCTCCCCTGCAGGCCTGGTTGCCCCCCAACTGCCCTCCCCTGCTGGCCATCTTGTGTGTTGGAGTGAGATGGTCAATTTGCATACTGGTCATGACTAATTAGCATACCCAGGCTAATTGGTATATTTTTCTCTTAATATCTACACTAATAAAAGACAAAGATGCTAATTGACCATACCTTCGCTATGCCCACCAGCCAATCAGAAGAGTATGCAAATTAACCCAACAAAGATGGCGGTTAATTTGCCTACACAGGTGCCCAGCGAAGACTGAAGACAGTGTAGAAGGAAGCCAAGCACTGCAGAAGGGAGCCAAGCAGCGGAGAAGGGAATGGATCAGAGGTAGCAGAGACGGGAGCAGAGCTGAGGCAGCGGACACAGGAGGGAGCGAGGTGGCGGGGAAGGGAGGGAGCGAGGTGGCAGGTGGCGGGGAAGGGAGGGAGCCGAGGCGGTGGAGAAGGGAGTGAAGCCCGCCTAAGTGTGCTTCGCTCCCTTCTCTGCATTGCTCCGGTCTCAGGAAGCCCTATTCTTGCAGGAATCTTCCTGCAACAGGTCTCTAGTGTATATATATATGTGTGTGTGTGTGTGTGTGTATACATATATATATTCATTTCAGAGAGGAAGGGAGAGGGAGAGAGAATCATTAACTGGCTGCCTCTCCCACACCCTCTACTGGGGATCGAGCCAACAACCTGGGCATGTGCCCTTACCAGGAATCAAACCCTGACCTCCTGGTTAATAGATTGATGCTCAACCACTGAGCCATGCTGCCTGACCAGGAATCAAACCCTGACCTCCTGGTTCATAGATTGATGCTCAACCACTGAGCCACGCTGGCCGGGCTAATTTATTAATCTTTTGGAGAGGAAGGGAGAGGAGGATGGAGGAGGAGGAGGAGGAGGAGGAGGAGGAGGAGGAGGAGGAGGAGGAGGAGGAGAGAGAGAGAGAGAAACATTACTTGGCTCACAGCCCAACTGGGGATCGAGCTCACAACCTGGGCATGTGCCCTGACCAGGGAATGAACTGGCAACCTTTCAGTGAATGGTGCATGGGACAATATTCAACCAACTGAGCCATACCAGCCAGGACCATGCCATCTTTTCTGAACATGGAAAATCTAATGACATCAGCAACCCTTATTATTACTATAACTATTAAAAAATTAATAATTCTTATTATACATTAGCCTAGGGGTCCTCAAACTATAGCCCGCGGGCCACATGCAAATACAAATATTCTATTTGTTCCCGTTTTGTTTTTTTACTTCAAAATAAGATATGTGCAGTGTGCATAGGAATTTGTTCATAGTTTTTTTTTAAACTATAGTCCGGCCCTCCAACGGTCTGAGGGACAGTGAACTGGCCCCCTGATTAAAAAGTTTGAGGACCCTGCATTAGCCACATTCTGTCTCTATTTGACTCTCAATCTCCACCTTTTAAAAATTATCTCCTAGTTCTGCTAAAACCCAAGAGAGTATAAGTTTTGTTGCTGTGGAAGACTGAAAAAAAAAAGGCTTAAACAACATATTTGTTATCAATGCTTTATTGTTGAAAACAAAATTGAAATTCTCTGGCACATAAAACAATTATTTCTACAAAAGGAAAGCCTACAAATCTTGATAATTTATACAAATAACAGCTTCTCAAAAAATAAAATTTTAATTTAGTAAACTTGTCTTGTGCTCTATATTTTTAGCACTGTCTGCAATAATCCACCATAAATCCCTGAGCGGAGACTTTTTTGACCATGTTCTATTATGCCCCCCTGTTGCCCTCCCCCCAAGTTGGTCTAAGCCCAGCCCTGTAATAGAAGGTGTCAGGGACATTTTGTTATTAAAGATCCATGCATTTTATGACACAGGCCCAATTATTAATGCTACTTGGGAACTGGGTCAACATGAAGTGCCTCTACTGTGCAATCAGCAAACCTATTAAGAACCAAGTGTTTTGAAAGGAAGAACAATAACAATAAAAAGACATAAAGTGTTAAAACTAGGAAATCATCATAGGTCAATATTTAAATAAATAAAAATGTTAGATACTGAATTCATCTCTATATCCTTATATTAAATTCCTTTTGTATTTATTTGTTTGCAATTGCCAATGCAGTAGAAGATGAAAAATACACTTCAACCCCTGTTTTTGGTTTGACCACTGGTTTGTTGTTGTTACATGTTAAATATCATTCTGAGAACACAGTGATTTCGTTATAATTTAACTTTTGGCCCCTCAGTGAAATGTTTACAAAATACTATACATGGTAGGAGGGCCTTCTTATTAATGCCATCCAAATCTCTCTCACTACATTTGCCCTTCTTACAAAAACACTAATGCCATAGGAACACTACTTCAAATTCTTTATCCCACTGTATTCAGATATGCAGAAAAACATATAAAATATGGAGAAAACATAGTATGATGTATTTGCATGTGCAGCTTCCCTTTAATGGGGATGCTGACCATATATACATGGAGCATGAGTGTAAAGGAGAAAAAGCTAATTTTCAGTTGCAAGGAATTGGCTTGATGAATCAAGTTTTGCTTGTTATTCTGCTATTATAGAATAATAAATAAATAAATATGTACAGTATTGTGTTTCTACTTTATGAAGAAGCTAATAGTGGGCTATTGTTTTCACAAAGTTAATTTTTAGTAGCAAAGTCTGACTGCAAGTCAAAAAAATGTTCAACAAATGTTCTTCTCTACATCTTTTATACTCCTTTACTTGTGAACGTTGAAGTGGTTACAAATAGGTAATGAAACAAAATACCAAATTTGCTAGTGAGAAATGGTTTTCAACTGTAAAAAGCACTTGGCAGAAAACCTAGAAACACGCAGGCTAATGCTACACTCTACTGCAGCTTAAAATAAGAAGTCATTTTTACGTGTTTTTTTTGGGGGGGAAGAGCAAAATATGAAAAATATGATAAAAACAATTCCTTAAAACCGTATCAGCATTACTGTTCTGGTACCTATTAGAAAGATATTAGCATTTCATAATAACATTTCCCAAATATAAAGTCATTGGTAACCATCATTATACACTCCTTCGAGCAGACTTGTTTTTTTAACCAGTAACATCTGGAAAGCACAAAGCACCTTCCCTTATGTCTAATGGCTGCTGGTTAGTTATTGGAGCTAGAACACCTTTAAGCTTCCTTTTGTTATAATCCTTATATAAGCATGTGCATTAACCAGGAATAGCCATTTAAAAAGGCAATTTCAAAAGCCTAAGAATTAACACAATGAATTCTCCTAGGCAGTTTCTTCTTTCTTTCTTTCTTTCTTTCTTTTTTTTTTATTTGTGTGTGTGTGTGTGTGGGGGGGGGATAAATATTGGTGACTTTAAAGTAAAAAATGCCTGCCTGACAAGTATGAGGCCTCCCTGGCCCCTCCTACAATACCAGTGTGAAATGGGGGTTTCGCGACGCTGCCTATCCTTTTCAGATCATGAAAAGCAAATGATTCCCAAGAAAGTGAAGACTGACATCCAAATCATAATGCGGCGTGTGCACTAGTCAGGAAACAAGTGTAGACTCTCACAGGTCCTGACACCGTATTAAAAAAAAAAAAAAAAAAAAAAGGGAGTTTTCTAAGTTGCAGAATTTTGATGAGCAGGCTGTCCCAGAGAGGGAAGGCAGCAGCATCAGGATGACCGCCGGCTCCCTGGGGCTCACACTACAGGTTAACCTCTCCTATGCACACTTGACCTTCATAGTTTACCGTGGCTGAATGGACACTCTGGCTTCCTCTCACAGTGTTTAGGAAACAATATAATTTCTCAGTTAGCTTTCAAAAATGCACAAATTTTGGAAGTTAGACGCCGTCCCTCTTTCAGAGGGCCAAGAGATCCTTTGTTAAGTGCTCTGGTTTAGTTCTATGGGTAACAATTATATCCTTCAGGAGGTTTCCAACCCCCCCCCCCCCCCCCCCCCCCGCCGCCGCCGTTTTTGGTGTTAAAGGCTGTGCCAACAGCTAAGTGGATATCCCCAGAAGAGGCAGTGACCTCGGTGACCTCTGTCCTGGCCTTGAAGTCCAAACCAGCTCTTGTCCTAGCCCCGCTGGGAAGTCCTGTTGGTTAAGGAAGCCAGCTTGAGAAGGTGGAGGAGGAAGAGGCGCTGCCCCTGTGTCAGGTCTTGGAAGTCTTTAAGCCTTGCTTTTCCATGATGTTCCAGAGTTTGCGGAGATTGGACTGCGTGATGACGTCGTCCGGCTTGAGCTGCAGCGCCCGCAGGTAGTTGGCCTCGGCCTTGTGCAGCCGGCCGTTCAGGTGCAGGATGGCTCCCAGGTTCATCAGCGCAGCCGGATACTAGGGCCAGAGAGAGGAAGGAAACCGATTAAGAGGCCATCGCAAGCTTTCCTTGGAGGAAGACAAAAATCTTCATCCACTTATGCAAATGATTCCCTTATGTCTGGAGGCACTTTATGGAAGCAATTTAGCAATTTATACAAACAGACAAAGATAACTAGGAAGGAGGGAAAAAAAGTTTCCAAACAGCCGCTGTATACTTTGTACCTTTTTAAAAAGGGCAGGCAGCTAGAGAAATAGTTTTCGTCTTTAATGAGAAAGAATGGGTTACATATGAAAACCTAGCAACCTAGTCAGGTGGTACCACTCTGAGAAAAAAGCGATACAATTTCAGATGGACAGAATTAAACTTTTGGTCAACTCAACACCAAGAAATACAATATTAAATGGGAAAAGTTGACAAATTTCTGTGTCCACCCACTTTTTAAAATTCTTTTTAAAAAATTTATCTTTATTGTTGAAAGTATTACAGATGGCCCCTTTGTTTTTTTCCCATTGACCCCCTCCACCCCCCACCTTTGTTCCCTCTCCTTAGCAATATTCCACACCATTTATAAAAACATGAATAAGTAAAATATACTGTAAAGTTTTACTGATGTTTTCAGGGTAAACTATTCTGGGAAAAAAAAATTCAAATGAAACCACTACAGTCCTTTCCAAATCTAGCTCAAGTAATTTAATGAGACAAAGTCTTTTAAGTCAGTTTTTAACCTTCTAATGGTAAGTGTTTACTCTAAATACAGTGAATTAAAAACACCTAATAATAGATAAAATACGGTAGGTACCTTTATAAGAGAAGTTTTATGCTATTTGTTTAAAAATAATTTACAAACAGATTTTTCTGTAATGTGTGGTAATTGTAATACAAAGTTATCATGTGAAAGGCAAACTTTAAAAAAAAGTATGTTATGTAGCACTAGTTTAATACAGGGTTTCCATCCCCAAATTCTCAGGCATTAGTTAATAACAACACTCCTTCCCAAAGGAAAAAAACATTTTGCTTGCTATCAATGAATAAGGGCTGTACTGCTCTTGTCTTGTCCCTGGAACTTTCTGGCTTGCAGAGTAGCTAATATTTTGGCAGTTACATAAATGCATATTTCAAATATCAGATAAAACTAAAAGTGTTTATGCTAAGATTATATTTTCATTTTTCAGATGATGTCAACTCTTAATTGTCTTGGCAAATCTGATACCGCCTAAAATAATTCACAATTATTTCTATGATTTAACATTTTCACAATGCATGCATTTTTCAGCTGAATTCATATGACTCTACTCTTTACTGTAAAAACAATTATTTCTGAACCAAAGCAATGCTGGGGAGAGGGGTGAATAGCTCAGAATAAACCAACTGGGGAAAAAGGATCAGATTTGGATTGTCAGAGATGTGGATTTGAGTTCTTGCTCAGCCACTGCTATGACCTTGGTGAAGTCCCCTAATATATATGTGTCTCAGTTCTTTCATTTATGAAATATTGAAATAATATCAACTTTCTGCACATTGTTAGAAAGATAAGAGAAAATAAACAAATGTAGCACAGTACATGCACATTGTAGATACTCTACAAATGTCAAGTTTACTTTTCCTGGCTCACTGTGCTTGAGATATAGCAAATGCATGTTTGTGATATTTATGTTGCTATACAAACTTTACAATTTTTATTTCAATGGCTACATAATATGTGTCTGGATGTATACCAAAATTCTCTTAAAGTCCTCAACTACTGGGCATTATTCTCCAACTTTTCAACATCCTTTCCAAAAAGAATGTTGCAAATATAAACTATTACTAACCTTCGAAAAACCTTTTAGTCTGGATGACTCCACACTTATCAAGAAAAGTACAGACGGTCAATATCTAATTTTAAACACCACTCCAAATAAACACAGCTCCAAATTACATGTGCAGTGACTATCTCCACATTGGAAACCTAAAATAACACCACCTACTCTGTCTTCCTAAGACAACTGTGCTGTCATACCACCACTACTATCTTGCGTTTGATGCTTGAACACATTTCTGAATGATGTCCCCTCACAGGGCTTAGCATCACAACCAATAAACAGCTACTAAACTGATGGTGAAGTGTGTTCACAGTCTGAATTACTAGAGATGCTAAATAGATGAAGTGCTCAAACTTCCTGCTATCCTGCGTAGGAAGCGAGGAAATGGGGAGGGAGAACCAGGGTTGGAGACCATTCCTTACTTAACAGAAAGAGAAGAGGCCCAGTGGCGGGGCGGAGAGAAACCAGATGGCTCTGTGGGATAGCTGTTACTTCTTGAGTCACTTCATTACCAAAGTGTCTGTACCTAACTAGAATTCCAACTCAAGGGGATTTTTAAAAACACTCAGTACCAAATCCCACTGCCCAGGTGCCAATGACGGCTCCACCCAGAAATGTGTGCACTTGGACAAGTTGAGTAAGCATATAAGACCTCAGTTTTTTCTAGAAATGGGGTAATAGTGCTTGTTTCTTAGAGTTGTTGTTAAGAGCATATGAGACTACAGATTACTATCTTTTTCTTCTTCTTTTCTGTTTCCTTATCATCTCAAAAACACAAAGCAGAATCTCCTTGTCAGTGTGCCTGAAGGACTCCTAACTCTAAACGCTGAGGATTTGTAAACTGGCTCTTTCTTTGCTGGCTCTGTAGCCTTTCTTAGGTTAACCTGGAAAAGAAGGTTGTGAAAATAGGTGGTGAAGTATACCAAGGCTTTGCTATTATTACTTAAATTGCAGCCTGAGTTCTTCTGTGCTTGGAATACTTTGAGTCACCTCCCTACCTTCAAATTAGGGAGGAAAAAGTTAATATTATTATAAGAAAATACAATTAAGAAGTTAAATCTGTTATCAAAATGAGTCTGAATGCTAATTATATTGGTGTTTTGGAATAACTTTAATTTTGCATTTTCCACACTTAGCATGTTTCTCTTTAAACAAAAATAATCAAAAATTGGCATTATGAAGTTCATGTGGGATAACAGATCTCATGGAAGCTTACATAATACTTATTGTGTCCCCCTAAAGAATAAAAATCCAAGTAAACTAAAAATGTTCATATTAAGAAAATCATTCAATTTTTAAAAGACTTTTTATTGATTTTCAGAGATAGGGGGAGGGGGAGAAAGAAACATCTATGTGAGAGGGATACACTGATAGGCTGCCTCCTTTACACACCCTACGGGGAACCCAGGCTTGTGCACTGACCAGGAATCAAACTGGCAGCCCATTGGTGCACTAGATGACACCCAAACAACTGAGCCACATCAGCTACGGCTCGTTCAATATTTTTAAGCAAAGATCTAATCATAAATAGATTACAATTTTCAGAGGAAACATTGTGGTTTGAATGCATCTATTTAATAGAGTAAGAAAGCTATTTTAAAAATCAATGCACATATATTATGTAATACTTATAGATTCTTATTTGCATAACTGGAAACTGATGAAATTGACATGCTGGTATGCTCATATGCGACATACATATCCACTGCCTCAGGTAACTGCTTTGAAAGTGTCATTTGACATAAATAATTTCAAGTGCTTGTTAAAAATTTATGACTAAAACTGGATATAGACTATTTTCTCCCTCTATGGTTGTTTTCTCTCTTCAGAGATGGGGTTTTTATCTTTTAAGCCCATCATATCTCCCTTCCACAGCAATCGCATGGGCAGCTTAGCGGATGCCCACTGGACTGTCTGCCTTCAGGTCATCCAGCCTTGCTACAAAATTGAGAGTTCAGGGAGGGGCATCAGCATTACCCAGGGGCTTAATAGAAATGAAGAATTTCAGGCGCCACCTACTGAGGAAGATTCTGAATTTTAACAAGATACCCAGGTGCCTTGTGCGCTCATTAAAATTTGAGAAGCACTCGTCTAGAGGTCATTTCCAGATCCTAGATTATATCCTTTTACAGCTTCTGAAACAAAGTTATTTTTCTTAATAAGAGAATGAAGTTCCTATGGAACAAAACATGTCAGATCAAATGTCTAAACTCCCATAAAACAGAATTCTTCTCTTGCCCAAAAAATTATCTAAGGGAGTAAAAGTATTCAAATGAAGCTTTATTAACAGAGTAGTAAAGGACTAAATATTGTTGGACGGAAGAAGAAATTAAAAAAGCCTTTTCATAACCAAATAAGAGCAAGTACGGTTTCTAAACAGACTTAAAGATTGCTTCACTGTATAACTGAAACGCAAGGAGTCCAGGTGACTGGCTGGCTGATTACATATTGGGTGTCATTGCCATCTGCCAGCCACGAGTCATGGGCTGGAGAACAGAAACCCAACTGCAACGGCTGATGTCTTCCCTCACACACATCCTCTTTTATTAAAGACAGCCGATGAAATCTTCAGCATGTTAACAAAGGCAGTCAGCAGCTTGCAACCCAGTAACATGGGGCTTGTGGCTCCAGACAACAAATGACACCACCTCCTACTTCACAGACTAGAAAGAAGAACCAGACTTTCTTGTTTCCTTGAAGAGAACAGATGCTTTACATCAAAGGGGCTGACTGGCAGCCATGCTGAGGCAACAAGTGACGTCCTCTTTTTTCAAGTCTCTAGGGAATTCCGCCGTTATTGTTAATTTACTGTGGTCTTTGGCTTATTTCTCCAGCATTGGAGGAAAATAGCAAAACTAAAATAATAGATGTGTACTGGGGTGTGGTAGAGCAAAGTCAAGGTGAGAAAGGTCGGACACTAGACTAATTCCCTTGAGGCTCCTCAGGAGCCCAGCTGAGCTCACAGGATCTTCTAGGCACACAGGACTGGAAGGTAAAGTCATTTTCCTGGCCTTGGTATATTGTGTAGTCTTGGGAGCATATCTATGGAGCAGGAACAGTGAGACCAAAAGGAGATTTAGGATTGGGAATTCGTGCTCCTATTGGGAACAGGACTAAAATGCAGAGCTTTGAACAGAGGACGTAGGTGGGGCCTAGAAAAAGGTAAGCAAGGGCTTGTTGAAATACTCTGATTAGGCAAGACAGGGAAACCC